TTGGGGGCCGGAGAGGTGGAGTCCAGGGCAAGGCTCGGCGGATAGAGCAGTTTGGCGTTGCAAAGCGGGATCCCTCGGGAGCGTGTGCATGGCGTGGGTGCATCCCCCTGCCCCGCCGGTGCTGCTTCCCCGGCCATCCGAGGAGCAGGACCGGGCATCTCCTGCGGCAGGGTTTGGCCAGCTCAGCTCTCCGGGGGCTTGCTGGCGAGGTGGCCGGGGGTGCTCGGCACGCAGCGGGAGCCCCATGGCTTGTGGGGCTGGCGAGGGGGCTGCCATGCTTTCGGTGCTTAGGGGCATGCAGGCTCCCAGCTGAGGGCACCCAGCACCCTTGGGTGCGGCAGCAGGGGGAAGGTGGGCTCCCATGGGTGATGAGCACTGGTAGGGAAGAGGTTTTGGGGGCCGGAGAGGTGGAGTCCAAGGCAAGGCTCGGTCTGGGCGTTCCTGGTGTTTTAAGCATTGGAATCCCTCTACAAAGCTCCCCTGGAGTTGCCCAACAGTGCAAAAAGGGGCTGAAGGGATGTTAAGAGGGCGGCTTGCACGCCCTCCTGCCCCCGGATCGCCTCCGGGTCAATGCTGGATGAGCTTTTACCTTGGCTTAAAAGCACCTGAGGCTGGAGGTGCCCTGCCTCCCAGGCGCTGCCCTTTGGCGTTGCCTGGGCTTCACGAGAGATGGAGCGAAGCCCCGCGTCTGTCTGAGCCCCCAGCAACCAGCACGCCTCGTGGGAGCGGACGGACGCAGGGATGCCTACGAAATGCTGCGATGCCCAGGTCCGAGGCGTGCAGGCATCGGTACCCACGTCATCGACGAGATGCTGTGGGTGTGCCAAGGGCGGGATTCATCCCTCGGACTGCCGCCGCCACCGCCGTGCCCCTATCCACCAGCACCACCCTCCGCAGGAGTGCCAGCGTTTATTTCTCGTGCCAAAGATAACGCTTCATTTACTCTTCAAGGAGCATCTCTCCCCGGCGGCGTGGGGCCGCCGCAGGCTCGGGGCAGGACTGAGCTTGTGTTGCCTTTCCCTGCCCGAAGCAAGGCTCTTCTCGAGCTTTCAACCCCCTGCCCCATAGCCTTGGAGGCACTGAATAAAACCAAAACCTTCCCCTCCTTCAAAAAAATGGGCTGTAACGCCTCCAGGGCGCAGTATCGGTGCATGCGTGCTCCTTTCTCCCGAATTCCCCGCTGCGCCCCTCCCGTCATCACTGTCCCGGGCATTAGTGCTTTATTGCATTAGGAATATTTGCAGTGGTTCCTTGCTATACCTCAGAGGAGAGCTGTGGCTCAGGGCCAGCCCGGCCCCCCTTGCACCCCGCAGCCAGGGCCCCCCCAGGGCACGGGGGGGGACGACAACACACTTTGGGGCAAGGGGGCTGCGCTGCAGGTGCTAACCCCCACCTCCAGCCGAGAGGGAGGTGGGTGAGATTATTTAAAGCAGGGTGCGATAAACTCCCCCCCACCCCCCACCCCGTTACTCTGCAAGATGAGGATGCTCTGGGGCGGTGATGCTGCAGGGCCGGGACCCAGCGCCGGGGTATTTATTCTGGCGCAAGAAGCGCCTGGGGCAGGCTGAGGTTGGGGCGCTCCTCACCATGCGGATGCTGTGGGGACGTAGCGATGCGATGTCCCCGCTGCCAGCAGGGATTGGGCCCCGTCTCCAGGAGGAGAGGGTGCGCCTGGTCCCCCGTGTCCTCCTGGACGCACCGAGTCATTCCTGTGATATAACCTTGTCCAGTGTTACGATGATGTATAAAGTTTTGTACATACGAGATTCAGAGCTTTTTAACTTTTAATATTTATTAATTTTGTTGGGTTCTCTTTTTTTTTTCTTTTTTTTTTTTTTTTTACTTTACAAAAAAGTAAAAAAAAAAAAAAAAAATAAATCCACATCACAGTCTCTTTCTGTTGATTGATTTGTGGGATGGGTGGGTGGTTGTTGAAATGGCTTTCACGCAGCGAGCCACCACCCCAGCCACACTTCTTCATCTTTCTTCCCCTTGGGGCTGTCAGGCACTGGAAGGGGCTGCCCAGGGAAGGGGTCGAGTCCCCAGCCCTGGGGGGATTTAACAGCCGGGCAGAGGCGGTGCTGAGGGCCAGGGTTTGGGGGTGGGATGGCAGGGGTAGGGGAATGGTTGGGCTGGGGGAGCTTAAAGGGCTTTGCCAACCCAAACGATTCCATGATTCCTTATCACCTGGTTTCACAAAGCTGTTTTGAGATGATTCCCCCACCCCCCTCATCCCCCGAACTGGACAAAGACCCAGCAAAACCCACACGCGTATAAATCGCAGGCATCCAGCTCCTCACGGACACGATGCTGCGTTCGACCCTGCTGCTGCCCACCGCCATCGGCTGCTTTCTCGCTTGCCTTGCTGCCTCCTTCCCAGCTGCAGGACCCTCCCTCGATTGAACCCACGGTGAAAAGTCGTATTTTTGGCTCCCGGGGATGTGGCTTTAGGGCCATGCACTTGCCCTGGCTGTGCCTGCTCCTGTTGGCACAGTGGGAGAAAAACCTGTATCCCTATACTGATATAAATGTATAGCTTAGCTGTTCCAAAATAAATAAAGATGCGTGGCCGGTCCAGGCCAAGAAGAGCCCCTGCACTTGCACTGGCCATGGGTAATAAATAAAGAGCGATGAAACCGGGGCGCGGGGCTGAAGCTGCAGGACAAGCGGCACCGTGGGCAGTGATGCCCGACGTCAGGGTGCGTTTCGGCAGCTGCCCCCTTCCCCTGTGCCCGGCGGGGAGGAGCGATGCCGACCGCCAGCTCCCGTTGCTGCTCGCGGGCGAGGTTTGGGGAAGGGTTTTTAGGCAAGCCCTACCGCAAGGCTCGGGCGCTGCCTCCCTCTCCCCGGCTTGCAGATGCTCCGCTCCATCCCTGAGGCAGAAGCACGGTGCTGGGTGGGTGCTGGGTGGTGGCATCGCCTCGCCCCCCTCGCCAGAGGCCACAGCAGCACCCAGCAGGGGCAAGAGGGGTGCTCAGGGGCACACGGTGGCAGAGAGGTGCCGGCGGAGGCGCTTGATGAAGTCTGCTTGGGACTGCGGCAGGATGCGGTTAATGACAGACGTGGGGATCCAGCCCTTTGGGAGAGAAAACACCCCGAATTCAGTCCTGCGGGGTCCAAGAGAGCTGGGGGG